TTTAACTTTAATTAAATTAATAAAAATATTTTGTTAGATTTAATAGAGTTGATAATAAAGATTATATTCCAGTTTTTAAGATAAATAAGTTTGAATAAAAGAGGGTTAAATAAATTTTTAACTGCTATTATAGTTAAATATATGGGTGGTCAAAAGTAGAAACCACCAAATTTGACAATTTTTTCAAAAATAATCTTTTTGATTAATTTAATAGAGTTTTTGCCAACAAATATTTTTTACTTAATAACAAAAACCTAATTAATTAATAAAATTTCAAGTTATAAAAGTTTATATTGTTTAACTCCTTTTTTACAAAATATTCTAAAAATAAAAAAAACCAGTTTCGAGAAATAGATTATCTATAGTATGATAGTACAAGAACACGAAGAAAATGTGATTTTATTTATAGAATTTTTAAAATTTTATAAATAAAATTGCATTTTCTCTGTGCCTCTATGATAGTACATACTAAAAGTAGCATTAGCCTCATTCTATTAAATTGTTTTTAAGGTTTCTTTATTGTTTAAAGTTCAGTTTACATGTTTTTTCTTTAACGTGGGTTTATTCATTTAATAGTTAAGTTTTTTCGTTGTTCTGTGATAGTTCCTTTTGGATTCTTAGGTTCTTCTGGTTCCTTTTGGAAGTTCTTCTAATGATTTTTGAAGTTTTCTGAGTGCTTTTGGCATTCTTTGGTGGCTTTTAAAAGTTCTTTTGATGACTTTTTTCTAAATTCTTGGTACTTCTGGTATTTTTTGGCAAATTTTTGAACATTTTTCTAGATTATTGGTACTTCCAGCATTTTTTGGAGGTTCTTCTAAAGACTTTTTAATATTTCTTGATATTTTTGATGTTTTTTTGGCAAATTTTAGATTCTTTCTTAAAGTTTTTTCTAAATTCTTAATACTTTCGATATTTTTTAAAGATTCTTTTGATGACTTTGATGTTTCTTCTATATTCTTGGTACTTCTAATAAATTTTAAATATTCTTGGGGTTCTTTCTAGATTTTTGATACTTTTAGCATTTTTAGATGCCTTTTAGAGTTTGTTCTGATATCTTTTGGAGGTTCTTTCTGGATTCTTGGTACTTTTGACATTTTTTGGTAGCTTTTAAAGATTCTTTTGATGATTTTTTGGTGTTTCTTTCTGAATTCTTAGTACTTTTAGTAATTTTTGATAGCTTTTAGAGGTTCTTCTAATGACTTTAAGATGTTTTTTTCTGGATTTTTAGTACTTCTAGCATTTTTTGGTGAATTTTGGAGATTATTCTAATGATTTTTTGGTGTTTTTTCCTGGATTCTTGGTACTTCCGGCTATTAATATGAATTAAAAATTAATTAATCATTTAGTTGGCTAACTTGACAACTAATTGATTAATAATTTTGACCTAACTATTACAATAATCAATTAACAAACTAATCGATTAATCAATTAATTATTAATCGATTAATCGATTACAGTAATTGATTAGTTACTTTTACATTATGATAGTTTGCAAAAAGGTGTAACTCTGTGATTTCATGATAATTATAGCAAAAATTTTCAAGATTTTAATTTCCTATTGATCATAATTTTTGTCGCGGATGATGCTGAATTCGGATAATACTGAATTCCACGTGACTTATGCCTGTACATCTTATTATGTGATACAAAAATCAGCATCCTAAAAATTCTGAATTTACAATCAAAACAAAATTGATTTACTAGGCTTTGGAACTTGGTATTCAGGCATTAGGGTTAGGGTTCGGGTTCGGGACTTGGTATTTGAGCATTAAGGTTAGAGTTGTTTTAATTTTATTTTAGAGTTCAGGTTCGGAACTTGGTATTTGGGTGTTAAGATTAGAGTTCGAATATATTGTTTTGATTTTATGTTACATCAAACCTCGAATTTTAATTTAAGTAAAAGACTATGTAAAGTTTTTATTTTTATTTACAAATAAACTTTTAATTTCTTTATATTTACAAAGAAATCTAAAAAATCCATCACTTCTAGAAAATTTCCCACCTTAAAAAAAACCATTTTACTTCTTTTTTAATTTTTTTTTTTTTCAATTTTTTTTTGATTTTTTTTTTTTATTTTTTTTTTTTTTTAAAAAAAAGATCTATCCTTCTTGAAAATTCCCCAGCTTAAAAAAAATCATTTTTATATTTTTTTTTTTTTTAAAAAAAAAAATTCAAAAAAAAAGAAGCTTCGCCCACCCATTTAAATGCTACAATGATTAGTTTCTTATAGCCTTGA